TATTACGAATCAACTTAACGGCCTGCTCCCAGTTGGCTTGTTAGCTCAATTGGTAGAGCGCTGCACTAGTCTCGCAGAGGTCAGTGGTTCGAATCCCGTACAGGCCTGATTTTTTTCAGGTCTGATTTTCGCTATTGCTTAAATAGCGCTATTTACTGCGAGGATCGTGCACCATATGTATCTAATAACGCACTACAAAATATATGAACTTCATATATTTCATTGTATCAAAATACATACAGCAAATCAAAGCATTCCCGGATCATTCTCCGCCCTGAATTTACCATTTCTCTAACAGAATTTTGGACCTCTAACAATTTAACTAGCGCTGATAGAAATTTTGACTTTTCCTATAACCTCAAGGATAATCAATGGCTTGTCGTAAAAGATGTTTGCCGCTTCTTGTACAAGTCTAATCAGAACCATGGATAAACCTAATTCGTGAAAGTGTAGTGTGATCGTCCGGGTGAGTGTAGTTCTGAGAAGGACTGTTGTCGTTGGTAGTGACTGACGTTTCGGTAACCTGTGTGGAAGTCATCATCAGAGTCAAGTAAATAGTTGTTGTCAGTACGTAGACTGTTCTTATTTCAGTTCGTGTAAAATGATTGGTCAGTTTTGCCGTGATGTTATTGGCTGTAAGTCTCAAGTGGCGTAAGTCGGTCGTGATTGGTCTGTTTCGATCCATCGGTAAAGTTAGGTCGTTCTGTTCGGTTCGTTTGTAATGTTTACGTCCTGAATGAGTCGTTTGTATGGAGCCGGTAGTAGTTGAGCCATTAACATCACGGAAAAACTGACCAGTCCTTTTACGCGAACTGAAATAAGAAGATTCTACTGACAACAACTATTCACTTGACTCTGACGATGACTTCCGCATAGGTTGAGCCTTTTAGGAGCCTGTACTGGTGTAAGGATTTGATTCACTCTTTTTTTCAGGTAAATGTCCAGTCCTCACGGCTGGTCGTCTCGTCAAAACTACACCAAGCAAGTGTGTGACATCACAAGTGAAAAGTGGAACCAAATGTTCGTTCTCATGTCCACAGGGATACCATTTACGAGGCCCCTCTCAGAAACAGTGCGGGGCTAATGGTCTGTGGACGGCTAGTGCTAAACCTGTATCGTGCAAAGGTTAGTTTAAATTTTTTTTAACTGAAGTGTACTTTATTTGTTACACTAAGATTTACACCCTTTCTTCAGCTATTGACGAGTGTATTGTGTCAAATAGCGGCTGCAGTGACAAGTGTGTTACTACTGCAGGAGGCTACAATTGCGCGGAGTGTCCAGACCCAGAACGCTGACCTTATAACTGAACAACAAAACTAGTTATGGTTAATAACATTCCAGACACTCGAAGTCCACTTCTGAGTGATATACAGAGAACATTGTATTCATTCTTAAGTCTCTCGTTTAGCTCACGTTCTAGTTTTTGTTCGTAAAGGAAGGAACCTAGTTAATAAATTTTTTTTTTCAAATTTTACCTTTTTTTGTCTGTTTCTGAACTAAAACAAGCTTTCTTTGCAACACTTAGATTGTAACTCTTATTTCAGATACTGACGAGTGTGCTGTGTCAAATGGTGGCTGCAGTCATAAGTGTGTCAATACGGCAGGAGGCTATAAATGCGAATGTCCAGACCCAGAGCTGAGTTTATCATTGAATAAAAAAACGTGTTACGGTTAGTACGTATGGTTTGTATCCAACTTATTGACCGTTTGTAAGAAATTGTATTTCTTAACTGATCGCATGAAGAGCTGAGTAGGAATTGTACCAATGGTAGGGTTAAATAACTACCTCTTTACGTTCCGTTTTTCTTCGTTAACTCAGATTTTCTGGTACATTTTTTCCGTTTTTAGCTGTAGGAGTCGATGTCCACTGCAACAGCAATAATATGACCATCATCATTCCAAAGTTCCTTCTCCGCGGTCTTGACCGTCAGCATTTGCGACTCCGGGAAACAAGATGCAAGGCTATGGAAACCAGTTCCCATTTCTCCTTAACGACTTCGCTGACCAGCTGTAACACAACACGAAGGCTCACATCTACCGCTACCGTCTACTCTAATACGGTCTTGGAAATTCCCGTGGTTGCTCAGGATGTCGTGACACGTGTGCGGGAAATAGAAATTCAGTTCAGCTGTTTTTATTCCAAGTATGGAGTAGTTTCATCCGTTGGTTGGAAGCCAAACAACAGAAAGCTTGAGTTCACTGCTGAAGGCAAAGGAAACTTTACACTTTCTATGAATATGTTCCCTGACAAAAGATTCGTGAGTCCTTACACGAACGATGATTTCCCTGTTGATGTGATGCTACGTAAACTTCTATATTTTGAAGTGTCAGTGACATCGAGTGACAAGAAGCTGTCAATCATGGCTGATCGGTGTTACGCCACGCCCACTCAGAATGGGAAAAATTCTTTGAAGTACGAATTTATTAAGAAAGGGTACGTGGGAGATAATTGCTAGAAATTCGTTATTTGTCTTTTTCAACCGATGAACAGGTTCTTTACCTTTAATGGACTAATGAACAATAAAATATAACAGGGACTTTATGAAATAAGGATTCAGTTCCAATCGATAGCTATGTTTTTTTCTTAGATGCCCAAGTGACGTCACCGTGAACTATCACTCTGCGTCTTCATTGAGTGCTCAGCGGTTTAGCTTGGAGGCTTTCAAGTTCATTGCAGATCATCCATTCGTATTCGTTCACTGCCACGTGATTGTATGTAATGCAACCAATCCAGCCTCACAGTGTGTAAAGAAATGTTCATCAAGTGACCGAGAAAAACGTGCAATGAGTGGACACGTGACTAATGACGTGTATTCTTTGGCCCAGGGCCCGATTCACCTCGCGCGAGGCAAGCGAGAGAGAAAGGAAAAGAACGCCTTTGATAAAATAGGTATGTACCCTAAAATAAGAAAGCGATTCAAGAGTTAGAATTTACATGACATGTTATTGATACTTTTAATTTCTCTGGATTTTGTGACTAAAGGTCCTTTCATAAAGTATGCAGTTGCACTTTCTTCGTCATCTTCTTTCTCTATTTCCTTAGGATCTAGTCCTTTCTTCATGATGTCATTCTTCGGGATGTGCGTCGCTTTCTTGGCGGGAACCGCGCTGATGATCGTCAAGAAGTCACGTGACAAACGCGATGACTATACTCTGCTTGCTAGCGGAAGTCAAGAGCAGTAAACACATGCTCAATGACGATAACCGGACTTGACAAATCTTGGGCGAAGTAGAGTTGAAGAGATCAAAGCGAAGTGCTTTCTTTTTTAACTTTTTCCCTTCTCAAAGCAATTTAATTTGCATTATGATGGATCCTCTAAATATGACAACAGTCAGATGATGAAAGTTATAATTATCAGACTTTACCTCTTCGGGAAGTCGTAAAGAAAATTAAAACTTAACAATCTCGTTGTTTACTTGCCGTTGCCTTCAAATCTGAACTAAATCCGATTTATTCGAGATTATCTTTTTTGATATATATATATATAAAAAACTTTAAACTTCTTAAGCGCATTTGATATGACGCATTGCTCGAGGAAATGTTCTTGCTTTGATATCTGCTGCTCAAGTTTGACTCAATATGTAGATACTGGTTCGTCTCAAAACTTTGCTAACTCTGCTTGAGTAGTTAAGCATAGTTTGAGGGACTTTTCAACGATCTTCTCATCACCGGACATGACGAAAAGAAATATGATTCGATAATAAGGGTACTTGCTAAGTAGAAAGTAGTTTGCTTTATTTCGTTTAAGTATTCTGAGGAAGTTTAAAGTTTTTATTCAAGCGCGGGAATACGTTAGCATTTGTTCAGTTTTTTCACCAACATCAGCAGGGATGCATTCGATTTTTTTGATTTCCCGTCTGTGAGCAGAGTTAACTACATCAGAGTGGTACTTTAATCATATTTCATCTGAATCCGAATCATGTATAAATATGAGAGCTATTTAAACTTCCAAAAGTGATGGCGAAGTCAAACCTATTCCCGTCGGTGAAGGAGTTAACAATTAAGGATAATGCCGGTTAACGGAAAATAATACCCACATCAAGATTAAGGAAGGTACTTTTACGTGATCGATAAGCTGGCTGAGAGAAAGGAAACCTTCTCCAGAAGTTAACAACATGAGTTCCCGGCTGTAGTTTACCAACAGTTTCAAACTAAGGCACAGTGTCAGGGATTTAACTCTGCTGTTGAATGGTAATTAAAAATAAATAAGGGAAATAAAAGTAGAGAAAAAACGTTTGTTGATATTAAATTACTAAATAATTGCACGCCAAAAGTCAAGGAGAGTGCAAGATGAACGAGGCTTTCGCGCTCTATCGCCTTCGTACAATATTAAAGGACTCCTCGTCAACGGAGTGACTTGCAATTTGTAATTTGGAAAAAAAGGCAAGGAAGAGGAAGACTCAAGCGTAAAATACTGGACAATCTGAGGTTGATTCATATTGAATCATTGCAGAAGTGACTCTCTAAAGATAGAGCAAGTTAAAGTCAGATGTATGTATGGCTAAGGTCAGAGCATATCTCCCAAAGTGCTATATATCAATAACAAACATTTCTAATTGCGTTTTCGCAGCTGAAACAAAATGATACCAGATGAGAGATATAAGGATTTTCAAATAATGATGTTTTTGGTGAAAGCAAAAGTTTGCTAGTTAGCATCTGTGATAATTTTCGTTCATCTAAATCACACCTGACCTCATCGAGCTCTTCGTGATTGAAAAACTTAAAGATTTTTAACCCTTTAACTCCCACGAGTGAGAAAACTACAGAATTTCCATTTACAATATCAACACATCATTTTGGGGAGCAGGGATGGCGCAGTGGTGATATCACTCGCCTCTCACCACTTTGGCCCGGGTTCGATTCCCGGACCTGGCGTCACATGTGGGTTGAGTTTGTTGTTGGTTCTCGGCCTTGCCCCGAGGGTTTTTCTCCGGGTCCTCCGGTTTTTCCCCCTCCTCAAAAACAAACATTCCAAATTCCAATTCGATCTGGAAACAGTGGACAAAGAAGGGCCACCCAGTGGAATGTCCATTGCTAAATTATTTATTATTATTATTATTATTATTATCATTATTATCAAGGAAACAGGTGATGAGAATAGGGAATTTAAGCGAACAACGACGGCGACGGCAACGAGAACGTGGAAAAACAATAGATCTAATTGGCAGAACAATAGCCCAGCACGTGCGTTTTAAAACTCATTTCTCAGCCGTCCTTTGCACAACAACAACGTGAAATCCCCAAAATTCCCGTCGCCTGCGAACCGAAATGGCAGCGGCAAATTATTTAAACTTACATTTGGAACTCAACGCTACTTTTATGCGTTATGTTGAGTTTGAGGTCTGGCGCCCTATGAGACGGTAAACGCATGCAGCCATTTTCGAAATTCTAACTAAAAGTAGAAACTTATTTTTTAATCGACGTCTTCCGTGGCGTTGCCGTCGTGACTGCTTAAGTTCCCTAATATAAGAAAATATCCGCATTCTGGAGATTATCATTGGATACAATTTCATATTCGCCAAACTTATATCACGGGATTTTTTTTTCCTTTAACGAAATAAACTAGCCTATTGAACTTCAAATAGAATAAACTTTCATCTCCCAACTATCGCGTTGAAAATGTGGTAAAACAATTGCTCTATCCCCCAGTTTGCGCTCATATATGTGTGAAGGGAGCGGAAAATTGGAAGGTGGTGTGGAAGCGAGAGTCGCTCTAGGCATAGCCTCGAGCAACTCCTACCAATTATTCGTCCTGTCCAAGCTTCCCACGTGCTTTGTATTTTATAACGCTGCATGCTCATACAGAGAAGCCTTGACTGTCAAGCCATCTGTAGCCGAGCGAACACAAATATCACGTGTTACTTGGTGGGTGGTCAACTACCCTACCTCTCTTTTTCAGTGTCGATTTTAGGACTAGTCTAGTTTTCGAATGAGTTTCGTTTCAATAACTAGTCTTGTTTAACACTCGAGTTGAATCGACTGACGTTGTTGTCGCATATCGGGTACGTAGGGTACGTTGAGCTCGATTTAATCGAGATGATTTAATTTCTATCGAGTCAGTTTTTCCTGGTTTCCCAGAAACCGTGAGTGATTCACCCATAGGTTTTATCTTCAACGTTACTTGGGTTAAATGTGTCACAAACTCATCGAGGGTTGCGATATCTTTGCGGATTGAGAATAGGAGGTAGTTTGGGGGATGTCTTTGCGAAGCACTTGATGCAGGTATTTATAACTTGTTGATACGTTTTTGCTGAATAATTAAAGAGGTTTTAATTTTTAAAATACGTGCAATCAGTATGAATTGGATGATTCTTACTACAACAAATCATTCTCTAAAGGATGCCGTCTGTCACAGAAAATGTTAAGATAAGAATATTAACTCAGTAAAACATTCACTTTGACTAAGTGGCGGGCATATAACCATAGCGCAAAATATTGGCATGGGATGTCAATGGAATATTTTGGCAATTGCAATTTTTCTAAAGATTTTTTACTGGATAAGTTTTATCAGATAAGTGAGTAAAATTATAGATCATTTTTGCTGTGTGCCGTACACTTCACTCTCAAACAGACTCAAATTAGTTTCGCATCATGAACGATACACACGCTACGCATACTTGACCTAACTTATTCGACCGACGTTATGATAATACCATGTATAGAGGATCTGTGTTTGCGGATGAACATAATGGTAAATTGTAGTCGAGTCAGATCAAGAACTTTAAAATGATAAAATCTCAGGTTATAGTAAGTTTTTCAAAGTCGAGCGATATCGCGCGACGAAAAGTCGAACGTAGGATTATCAGAAACTGCCTGAACATAACATACCACAATCCTCACTCGCTAGACATAAATAACCACAATCATGCATCACTGGTCCATATATCTAAAATAATTGAATAAAAAAACAAATTCTTGTCTGATCAAGCTATAGACAGTTTTAATCTCAACCCATAGGAGCAGAAAGCATGCAGATTTGGGGTGGGGGAGGTTACTCAAGAATGGTGAGTGTTGAGTGCAGAAATTTCACTATTAACGTCACCAAATTAAAGCTAGGCGATTGCACTGGCTTCAAGACTGTCACAGGGTACGTTGCGTTTATTTTCATGTAATAGGACAGCTCTGTTAAGCAACTCACTACCGAGGAGTGGATTCGAAAGACATGGATGTTGCTGTTATTTCGATAGATCCTTGAGCCGCCTCGTCTAGATTGAAATCGAGACAGATGTAAATGTTGGGCCATGTTTATGTGGTGGTCAACGGAAAATTGAAAAAGGTAAGTTATTCACTTTTCTGTATACAGCAATGTTCGATGATCAAACAATAGTTTTAACTTCACTGTATGTTTCTTGATTTCATTATTTGCATCTGCTGTTCTTTCTTTACTTCCTGATTTCACCATTTACAAACACGACTGGAATTTGCTTATTTTGAAGTCAAACATTGCCTGATTTCTCGGAATTCGGGTAAAATTCCATTTTAGTAAAATGACCGACATTAAAAATGTTCTCGATGTAACTGATTGCTATCATGTGCATATAACTCTAGAGAAGTTTCTCAGGTTATGTACTATTTATTACAATCTGTGGTGTTGGGAACATTTGTCTAATGGGAGGGGTGGGGGAGGGGGATTATAGCCGGGTCAAATTTGAATTTAAGAAATTGTTTTATTATCGTGAAGTGTGCGGTAGGGGATAAAATCTCTCTAATAAGAGATGGATGCCCCGAGTATCAAACACTGTAAATGCCAATTTGTGATTTTTCAAAGGAAAGATAAAAATTTAGTGATAAAAACGAGCGATAAAAAATATGAACGGCGTTTCGACCGCTCCACGGTCATTTTCACGTTAGAGTTCATGGGTAAATTTCCGCATTTATACAATTTCTGAAACAATTGATTGAAGGTAAAAGCTAAGTCTTTACATATAAACAATAGGGCTAATAACTAATAACAAAGTGCAAAAATAAAGTGTAAATAGGCGTGAAAAGGATGAAAATTAATTAATATGAAGTGTTAAGCAAACAGCTTTGCGCGAATAGAATCGCTCTGTTTGTTCAATTTTGGCTTAAGGTCCTCTAACCTCTCACTTTCAAAAGGGATCAACCACAACATGGTGACATTCATTTCTAGCTCATTTAAACTTCTCTTCTTACTTTTAGGAATCGTACATGTTCAATATTTGTATTCTTTTGTCAAAGTAACGAGGATTCAAAGCTCGATTTTGTTTTGTTTACACTGAACTGGCGCTTGCCACAAATTTCAACTTATTTTCGTTCTGAAACATAAACTTTGATTGGTTAGGTGTTGTCAGATGCACAATTTGATTGGCTAGTAGGAAGCACTATCCAGAGCATAAATTAAGAAACTCTATATAAATCAAGAAGCAAATGTACAACATTTTCCTTCATTTGTTGTGCTATTGGGGAAAATTATTTATAAAAGCGATAGAAAACCTTTTCCGTGTTTACGTACTTTCATCTTTCATCGGGAGGTTGCAAGAATTATCGAAAGTTTTGCAAATCCTCGCTTGCTGAGCGGTTTTGCATAACTTTCGAGAATTCTATCGTTGTGGCCACTAGTTAGTTTACCGTATTTAAGCTTGTGACCCATCTCCCCTCCCATGAAAATGTCGAGTGTAATGCAACTTTTCTGATTGTTTCCAGAGCTCTTATCAATATTAGAAACAATCCTAAGTATCAAAGAAAAGGTGTCGAGTGTTCTACTGATGATTTTTGACTCTTCTTCAAAGGACTTACCGACATTTACAAGCACTTGTCATTCAAAAAAGAATTCTGAGAGCAAGTCACGAGCAGCACTCTGAGCTGTGCCTTGCGATTCAAAAAAAAATTTGGCCACTGCGATCACGAATATCCTTGTCAGTATGAGTAACAGACCACACTAAATCATTATCGGTTTGTTAAGTTTTAAAGGGGTAAGTTACTAACGAAACTGTGGTGCTGCGTCGGTGAGGGAGTATAAAAAGATAATTTGGCTTTATTAACTGAGTTGATAATATAAATTGACTACCGAACGAATTTTAAAAGCTGACGTTTTGAGGGTTAGCCCTTCGACAGAGCGAAATTTCCAATTTTCGTTCCTATAACGATAAAGAGGGTAAGGGAAATAGTTTAAACTGTTGTGGCTAATATGGCAGCTTTTTCAGTGGTTAGTACGGTGGCTTTTTCAGTATTGTGATCACACCTCACATATCTCC